AGTCCTCGTCAGGCGGTTCGTCAGCATTCTTCATCTTCTTGCTCCTTCTCTGTTGCGGTTTCGTTATTATTGGTAAGTATTACTTTGTTGAGGTAAATTGCTTCGGCACCTTGGAACAGTTGCCTTTTAGGAATAATCTATCTTGGGAGAAGACGAGATCTACCGGCACCATTCGGGAAGCTCATTCGACGACAGCAGCCGGCTCGAGGGCATCCAACCGTTGCCTTCGAGAACCCCGCTTACGGTGAGGCTTCCTAAGAAAAGTGTTTTTTGGTCATTACTACCCCAACTCGATTCCCTGGATTTATGAGCACACGATTAGGGCCGAATAGAGTCTTCCATGCGGTTCGTCACAAATTCTCAGTGGGCGGAGGAGTGTGTCAGTGGGCACTTTTCAGCTAGTGTGTAGTGTGAACAGGGTAAGCATCGTTGTCCCATAAGGGGAGGGGGGTCGTACTTGGCCGCTGGGAGGGGGGGGTCGTAATCTCAAGGGTCACTCAGAGCCGGGCAATGCTTCGACATTTCAGTTGATAGTGGGAGTGGAGCTATGGAAGATAATGAAAAAATGAAAATTATTATGAGTGTATTCTTTACAGATTAAACTGCCGCTTGTAATAGACAAGTATAGATCCGCATTTTTTGTATTTTTCATGTTTCGCTTTGTTGTGTCGTGCATGTTTTCATGATTTCCCCGTCACCATTCATTGAATGCACATCTGGGCCTGACACGCTGACCTTGGGGCTATTTTTTCACCAATTTAGCTTATCAATGATCACCATTAGTCGCTGTTTCGATTGTGTTCCTTGTTACAAGTTGCATGTCATACATAGTTATCGAACGAGGAGTTTTATTTTGAATCCTAAGACAAAATTGTAGGTAATGCGAGGCTGTTGTTCAGCCTCATATTGCATGAGGCTGAAACAGCCTATTATTGCCTGGATTTTCGCCTTTCGAAAATCCAGATTCCATTTCAGGAAGCCATTTGTGGTGAACATGCATCTGGTTGTCAGTTAGAGCAGGAGGGGGGTCGTAACTGGACCCTCTTCGAGGGGGGGGGGTCGTACTCGCACCGCCATTCCGCACGGCTAATGTAAGGCGGCCTCTGGTTGCGGCTCCCTGTCCAAACTATAATATAGCAATTAAGTTTCTCAGCTATGACGTATAGGCCTAGCGAAGCTCTAAACGCTCACAGATGTGGACTCTACAATTAAATGACAGAGAAAACTTCTAGCACATTTCACCACGTTTCTTTACCAACTATATGGTTCGCATATGTTTTGATGGTTGGTCCTCCTTTCCCTGCGGTGCAACCTTAGTTTGCTTTTAGGGAGAATAACACTCGGTGTACATATTTTTCATGTAACTGGTTGCTGGTTTCTCAATGAACTTCAATATAAAAATCACTGAAGTTTTTCCAAAGGGAACAAATTTAACTTCTCGTGGTTGGAATCTAGAAATTCATCATCAAATTGCTCTTCGCGAAGGCATTCATTCAACCTTTTTCAGTGTCCGGTCACGAAGTGGAGATTCGAGGTCTTGGCGGTGGTGGAACGGCAAATGGTGAGGCTGATTGGCAGAGTCAGGATTTGCAGGCTACCGCTGGGCCAGAGGAGTACCGCAATGGCATGCGATATGCAAAACTTGAGTCAGCCTAAGCCTCGGTGTATTCCATGCATATTTGTGTTCACTTCTATGAAGACCTCCAATTATTCCTCATCATTTGTAACATAGAAGAACGTTCCCTTTATCCAAAATTCTCAGTCGTGTATAAATCACGAGGTATCTAGCTGGGACCTTTTGGACCTTTCTTACTGACATATTTTTTTATCATGTTTCTAAAAATTTACATGGATATTTATTATTGGCGCTCAACATTGTTGTATTTCGCCCTTCTATCAGTATAATGATTGGAGGGCCCGTTAAGTTTAGTCAGTTGATTTCCTTGTTAGTTGCGACAACTACGGTAGCACGACGGGTTTTCTTGTGTGTGTGTTTGTGAAACGTACGTTGTAAAGGAATGAATTGTTCAAATCCTATTGAATCGATCAGTGTCATCACCAAAAATAATGGAATGTCGGTTTCACTGGGTTGGGAATGAAAAAAGTATAAGGACTTGCAGTAGATCGGTGCATTGGGAATACGAGTGGGGAGCTCAGTCATGATTAAATTACGAACTTACTCTGTACATGGATTTACGACCCAGGGCCAAGCCAAAGAGCTGACATCTTGTTTCGTGTTGCGCCGCCATACAATTCGTGAGCATTCATAATCGGTGCCTAAACAATAAGCAGTGGACACCGCGGATAGCGATGGCGGCCAGCACGTGCGGTGTCCTGGACTGTTTTTGCTACCGAAAGAAAGTTTAGTTTCGGAGCAGAGGGGCAGAACTCTGGCCGGCCGACTCAAATTTGGAGGGAGAGGGATTGGAAGGCGATTTGTCATATATGCTGAACTCCTGTATACTATGCATCAATTGCCGCGATTGTTGCAGCGAATGGCGGCACTGGTGCAAAGGACGTGTTCCTAGTCACTGTTAGATCCTCCACATCGCTTCAAATCCGACAAAACCGCTTTTGCAAATCGATTTTTCTCTTGTTACTCAGACATGAGAGAGGATTTCGCTCTAGGAACTATAAAGTTCCTTGATTTATATCAGAAAGGTTGAACTCGAGCTTTGCTGCCGAACACCGATGCTCTCTCCCGACATGTGCAACCGACCACCCTGGTATTAGTTGAAGTGACGAGTAGTTGGTAAGGCGTCTACAGCCCCGTCGCGTTACTGGCGTTCGCGCTTTACAGGTCCGCTACACGTCGCGCTACAGGTTAGCTGCCTGGTACAACTGAGTTTGGTAAACGTGTAGGGCCAACATCTGCTACACAACTCCCAGCTTTTATTTTTTTCGTTTCGGATTCATCTGCTATGCCTTTGTTTCTAATATTTATCTGATAGTGAGCTCCTGTTTTCTACTTTATCACATTTTGATGTAGTTTTTGATACAGAAGACTGTGGTAATTGGTTTTATTTATATCGTTTTCTAACTTGTAGTTATTTCGGTTTCACAGTTGCTTTTGATCGTTTGATGGCTTTGTTGGGTTCTTGGCAGTGCTGCGGCGACTCGCGTTTTGATCCGATGCGAAACTAGCATTTAAAATGTGATAAAGTAGAAAACAGGAGCTCATATTAGATGAATATTATAGAATAATAAGAGAGAAGAGGATTGAATACAGAAAGAATGAATACGGAATCCAATTGCCCTTATCCGATTCGTGGAGCGAAATCTGCTTTTGTAGAGTTTCTGCCCCAATCTCTGCTGAGATCACAGGACAAGATTAATGGGTTTAAGGCACTTTACCAGCCAAACAAAGCCCTGACATTTCTTGTAACTTTTGTTTGGCAGAGGGTATGCATAGTTGCGTCGCATTTGTCGGGCAAGCAGAAGAAACAATGGCCTTATCTCCCACAACAAGACAAACGCGCGAAGACTGTCTATCACCCAATGCCGTTAGGCACAATGCCAAACAAGAAGTATCCTTTAGCTCTGTGTCTCCGGTAAAAAAAAATGCATGCGTGTGTGTTTTAGGTGGCGCGAGTACTCTTTGGGTGTTTTTTGCAGAAAATGCTCTTAATAGGACAAAGGACACTGTTACGCTAAAAGCAGTACCAGAAAAATGACTAATGGAGTGACAAGATTACAGCTGTGATCAGCTCTACATCCTTCACGTGAATCTTCTCAAGACCAACACCATCAAACCAACCTTCCACTTTCGCTGTCACAACAGACTCTAGATCAGATCCTAATGTTGGGAAATTGAGTACGTTGGCCAGAACGGCGCTGTAGCGCTACTAGAGTATGAACGCTGTGTACTTACCGCTGCACGTCAGTCATGACACGCATCTCTCGTTACCAATGGTTTCAAGGCTCTGCGCACTTTAACCCATTCGCGACCAGGCGCGTTTTTCGAAAACGGCTCGTTCGGACCGGAGCATTTGCGAGCTCTCAGCAAGTGTCCGCCACCAGTGGTGGACACGGTCCCTCGTGACCCCTTACTAAAAATTTTAGCACTGTTCAACTTTCTGCTCCCGAAATCTCCTTTTTTACTGAACCATCGAGTGCAGGGGTTATTCCTCAGGTCACAAAAATGACATTCGTCTGTCCTCCGGTGCCATTTGGCGCCAATGTGCGCTAATTTAGTGCTATAGTCTTTCCCTCGAAAACCCGTGTAAGCTTGCATATTGAGGTGATTTGACATATTGAGGTGGCTCAAAACCTCCTGGTGGCAAGGAGGTTTTGAGCCGAGCGGAAGTGGTACTCGTGTTCAAAAGGTCAAACCAACTCAGGAAACGACTGCTAAGCCAAGTCTGTCCACATAGAAAGAAAGTTGGTCGAAAGTTGGCTTGGTTCCGGATGTCTGAGGCAGTAAAGGGTTGACAGTGCCTATAGTTTTTCACCGGCGCTATTCGGCGCTAGGGATCCACCTGCACTCGCCGTCGCCTTTTTTCGCTAAAGTCGCAGCTGTTCTGCATTCGAGCTCAATGGGGGGAGGGGAGCCCGATCACAAATAACACATTGGTTTCAATCTTTGCAGAGCGTCACATGGCATGAGCGCCATGTAGCGCTCTGAAAAGGCTGTAGCTTGGAGGAGGAGTGATTCCCTCCTTCTAAGGCAAGCTCAGCCTCAGCATCGCATTGATAACCCTTGTGCCCTACGCTAACGTTCCTGCTAAAAATGAATGTCATATCAATAATAAGGACAGCGAATAACCCGAGTATCCAAGTTCCCATCAATTTGGGAAGAGGTGATAGCACCCTCTGGCGCCCATTGGCGCCAGTTGGCGCTGGGACCTGTAGTGAACGTCATATTCGTGACCAGACCAACAAAAAGCCCTAGTATGTAACTTTTCCTGAAGTTTGGTGAAAAAAGGTAGTGGTGAGTTGGCGCGGCACCATTCTGGCGCCCCGGTTTTGATGAAAAAAGTGGTGGCGCCAAATGGCGCCTAATGGTGCCAAATGGCGTCAAACACCGCCGGCGCCAGAAACGGACGTCACATTCGTGATCGGGGCACTGAGTAACCTCTACCGGCAAATTTTCAGCAGAGAATCTTTCTAGAGGTTTTGGGCTCAGGTGCTGCTAGTTGAATCGTGCCTGGGACCTATATCTGAAGATCTCGTTGGTCCACTATTTGCATAAATTAACAAAGGTATGAAGACTTGTACACTGGGAAAAGTTCCTCGAAGAACTCGAACTGTTTCTAAAAATTTCATCAAAAGCCCGTCCGCCACATATGGTGGACATGGTCCGAAGTGGACATTTCGGTGTCCACCACCAGTGGCGGACATTGTCACGAATGGGTTAAAAAGGGATAGTAGTTGTTCACGAAGGATTCTCCGTAAAATTACCACACGTCAGATTGTGAGAGCAGCGGAGATTGTGCGCCGGACTACCCGTCACTTCACACCTGACTTTACTGTGAAGTTCCACCACCGTCAAGCACGTTTGAGTGAAATGACTGCCCAGAAGAAAAGAGATGCAAAAATGGATAAAACGGGTCCATGCATACCGCGGCGTTTCTCGCTAATCAGGGTCTGTGGTCGACGCCATTTTATCGCGACATTTTATGCGCGCTCAGTATAAACAATGAGTTTTGTAACATATTTATGTGATATAGTAATA